TGTGTGTGTGTGCTTTTATTATTAGCATCGACCGCGCTAACCGGCTGACCAATGAAAAGTGTGTGTGTGTGTGTGTGTGTGTTTTTATTATTAGCATTGCGATAAACAAGCCGTTCGAGGATCGTTTTCGGTGCGGAAAAGTGCACAAGCTGTAGCGTAACAAGGCCATCATTCCGCACCCAAGCGTTTCTCATTTCGTGCCCGCGTCGCTGCGTTCGGTGCCGATATGTACTCTATTCACAATCCGTTTCATCGATAACTGCGCCAATTGGCGACGTTCTGCAAAAAAAACGAGTGCCCAAGCCTACTCCTAATAGGTGAACACTTCTCGCGTCGTTGTTTCCTTGCACCGACCCCTAAGTCACTCGTTCACACCCGGTTTGTCCTCTCTTTGCGGCATCCTTCAACTGTCATTTGGGACGCGTGTGTGTCGGTTTGGTTCTGCTGCTACGTGTGTGTCGGTTTGGTTCTGCTGCTGCTGTGTTCTTTTTTTGACCTCGTCCACACCGAGTGGCCAACTTTGGCACGTGTTCAGACCAGCTACCACGCATCTCCTCCTCTACAGCTCGCGGCTTTCACTATCTGCATATCACAGAGGGTGTTCGCGTGTGGTTTGCAGACCACGACAGGGCGTAGTGAGGAGGGGCTCGCGATCGGCGACAACTCGCGTGCTAGTTCAAATATTCTGCTGCTGCTGTGTTCTGAGTGGTTGGGGATTATTTCTACTTCTTCATTTATTAACGCATACATACGGAGTGCTGACAACAACGATTCGCATCAACAACATTTCGGGTGTGTGTACCAAAACAAAAGCAACACATATTCACGGGGGGCGCACGACCCAGCCTACTTGTTTGCGTGTGGGTACAATTTGGACGAAAAAGTGGGTCAAAATATAGACAAAAGTAGATCATGCAAAAATTAGTGGGTACATGAAAAAATTAGTTGACACCGGTGGGTATACCCACCGCGATGTCGGACAAAATGGATACTCTGTTGAGGCCCTGCGCGCCTCGGCGGTGGTAGGGCCAAATTTGTGCCTGACAGTGGGAAAAAAATCGATGCCCGTGCTGTGTATGTATGATCCCTGGTAGTCCCTTGCTGTCTGTGTCGTGCAGGTATCAGAATGGGGTTTTGAGTCGTTTGGGGACCGCCTATATGGATGGAGCGCGCTGGATTTTCAAGCACCCACTTTTTTTGTCCGAGAATGGGATGGGTATAGTCTATCTAGACTACCCACTTTTGTCTATTTCCCTATTTAATAAAATCAGGGGGCCCCGCGAATTGTGTACGGAGATACGTCCGTTTATGACAAGTGTTCCTTAATGGGGGGGGTTTCCTTCATACCCGGGTATACTCCATGTACGTAGATCAGCAGGCTTTCCTCGCCACAGCAAGAAGAAGTAGTGCACACACAGGGGTGGGTGTGGGGGGACAAACAAAAACAGTACATGTATTTTTTTTGTCCACTCGGTGTCGGTCGTGGACTGTTCTTTTTCGGGTAGAACTTGAGTCACTCCTCAGCGAATGAACTCGTCGCCGGTGCTGCTGCCCATGGTGCCGCTCCTGCCACGAGCGCCTGCGCCCCGGTCGTCTCACCCGCGGCCGCCGCGGGGAATACCCTGCCGCCGGGGGTCACCACTCTCGTCGCTGGTGCTGCTACCGAAGCTCCTGCTCCCTCTGCGAGTGCCTGCGCCCCGGCCGTCTTCCCTGCCGCCGCCGCCGCCGCGGGGCAAATTCTGCCGCCGAGGGCCACCCCTCTCCAGTGTCTCCGTCACTTGCTTTTTGCTGTGACTCCTGCTCGTCGTGTTGCGGTAGCAGTTGCGGCTTCTCGTAAAAAATAAAGGAAGATTCATACAGGCTATGCCGACGAAACTCGTCCAGGAGTTTCACGTTATCTGCGTGGTTCGTGGAATGTGCGTCCCGTGTGTCAAATTGGTTCATGGGTACCTGTACCGCGACGCGACGGTCCTACAACTTAACCAACCTTTCCTTGCAGTTCAGTGTCTGTCTTGGCACCACTGCAAACGACAGTTTTTTTCACTCCAGCGAGAGACTCGAATCCACAACAACCTGTTGTTTATCGGTACAGAGGATTCGAGTTTAACGCTACACCTGCTAGACCTCGTAGTTTTTTCCCAAATGTAGCGGCAGCAAACGTCGGTTTGTCTTTTCGTGTTACGATTATCCACGACCGACACTGTTCAGGTCACACACAATCAAAACCAATTTCAACCCGGAACGCGATACAAACGCAAGGCATGAATCACTATCGGATCGGGTCTGGACTTGCGAATGCCGCGCGTTGTTGGATCACGTTGAGATACACAATGCGGAACCCGGTGATACTTGTTGTAAGGAATCTGCTGCGTGGCATCCATCTATAGTTTTGCGCCCTTGTTTTTGCGAGGTGTGTGCGGATGCATGTGCCTTCGAAGGGTGCCATCAACCACCCGTAATTCTCGCTCAAAATTGAAGAACAACCTTGTTATTCTTCTACACAAGGGAGGAAACCATTGCAGATTGAGGGATCTTTTGCAGATTGCCTCCGTGGGTACGTGCTGAGAGGCATCTGGGGTGGGCCGTGCCATCAAGCAGCTCCTGTTGGATGTACGACCATATCGGAATAGGTTGATTTTCGCTTCTATTTCATGGCGACGTTTGTGTATGGCATACTACACGATTTATTGTATTTTTCCGAAGTGTCATTTTTATTATTGTTTTTCCACGAAGTCTGGAAGG